TCTCAATTATCGCTTTACGTCTAGATTCCACCACCAATTCACTCGTATTTAGCCACAAGTTACTTACCTATATCAATAGATGCTAAATGAATCAATTCCAATGCATGAAAATAGATTTTCTAAAGTTTTTCCCAAAAAGTCAAAAATTGTCTCCGGGCCCACATGATCATAACCCGAGGTTCGAACCAAAACCCAATTACCCATTCCCCCACAAATCCAAATATATAATTTGTTATGAAATAAGACCTCAAATCAAGGTCCAAATACCCAAAGTTTGATAAACCTAGGTCCTACCCAACACACCCAATTTCCCCCCATGAAAACCTTTGATTTGAGTTGAAATCATAAGAAAAGATGATAAAGATTGAAGAAAATGAGTTAGAAATGACTTACAATCGATTTGGATGAGTACTTGTCTTTGAAAAATCACCCAAAGTGTTTTGGCTTTGAAAGGGTTTGAAAAATGAGAGATTTTCGACTAAGTTATAATTTGCACAGATGCGAATATCGCATTTGTGAAGTTAGGTTCGCAAATGTGAACTTGCAAATGTGGCCCAGGCTTCGCAAATGCGAAGGTAGGCCAAATCCTGCTGTCTTCACAATTGCAAACAATTGTTCGCATTTGCGGTCCCTGTTGAAGTCGCATTTGCGACATAAGCCTCACAAATGCGAGAGTTTCTGCCCCAGCCCATCGTCGCAATTGCGAAGGGTCTCTCGCAAATGCGAGCTCGCAATTGCGAAGCCTGCAGACCTGCAACACACAGCAGTTGAAAATCTAAAACTTCCTAAGTTCAAAACACTCGGTGGCCTATCCAAAACTCACCCGAGCCCTCGGGGCTCCAAACCAAACATGCACACCAACCTAAAAAATCATATGGACTTGATCGTGCAATCAAATCATGAAAATAACATGTAAAACTATGAATTAAACCTCAAAACTCATCATCTTCATCAAGAACACTTTAAAGTTCATAACTCTTCGACCGGAGGTCCAAATCACGTCAAATAAACCCCATTTTCACCAAATTTCACAATTATCATTTAAATACTTTATCAAGATTGTAATAAGCTCCGGAACCAAAATACGGGCCCGATACCAATAGTTTCAAATATTAATTCTTTTCTTTATTTCATAAATAATTCAGCAAAATAATTTATTTCAAAAACTAATTTCTAAGGATTGGTACCTCGGAATTCATTTCCGGGCATCCGACCAAGTCTCATATTTTTTTGCGGACCTCTCGGGATCATCGAAACACGGATCCGGGTCTGTTTGCTCAAAATATTGACCAAAGTCAACTATAATCAACTTTTAACTCTAGAATTTCTATTTATCATATTTTTACATAAAAGGCTTTCCGTGTATAGGTCCAGATCATGCACACAAATCGAGGTGAGGTAAAAAGGATGGTTTAAGGCCTTAGAACACTAAATTTATTTCTAAATCAAGTGATGACCTGAAATGTCATCACACTCTTCTTCTCACATCTTCTACATATGCTTCAAGGGGCCGTCTGCCATTGCTGCTTTTTACTCTTTATCACCTGGTTGCAATGTAAGAAAATTGAAGGGTAGAAGTCCATCATTGAAGGACATTCAAAGCTTTGCTTTCGAAAATAGGATTTTTTGAGTTTGTTAGTTGTTTGGATTGGGTGTTGTTCTAATTGATTGAAAATATCAAAAGGAGATCAAAATTAAAATTTGAAGTGAATTGGAGTAGATTTGAGTTAAATTTTAGAAAACACGCAAGGAAGAAGACGTAGTCAGTTTTTTGTATAATTATGTATAATCTTGTATAATAGTGTATATGAGTGTATAAACACATCTTATACACTTTTATATACCTTTATATAAGCGTCTGTTGACGAACTTCTTCCACGATTTTCAGTTGCAATTCTTGTTCAAAACCAGTCCAAATCTCCATTAAATGACTTCAAATTTTATATACAACTTCCTTATACTATTTCTAACAAGTCTAAATAACACCCACTCCAAATTTCTCACAAATTAAATTCGAAATTTAAATCCACATGTTTAAGCTTGATTAAAATTTAATTTTCACCATTCAAATAGATTTGGTTTGTTGAATAAATATTTGAGTAACAGTCACTGATTCGAAAATTAACGTAAAAGCTTGATCAATCTTTTTTAAAAATTAAATAGTAATTTCTAGAACCTATTGGAATTGGATGTTGAATCTTAGCATATTATTTTGAGATAGTTGGTTGTAAATTGAAATATGGTCTATAAATTAAAAAATATGGAGCTCAGTTGTTCTTATGTGAAATTTTCCCAATCTTAAGATCGAGATATTCTATGAACTAACTATTATTTCGCCAATGTATATCATTTTTGTCCAACATATTGACCCATAAATGAATATTCCCTTTTAATAAATCAAAATAATAAATAATATACATGTCTAATAATAATTATAGTAAGAATTAATAGCATAAGTATATTTAATGGACTAAAATATTTTTTTATTATCAGTATAAAATACTTATCTTTAGGAATGGGAGCCTTGTAACAACAATTAAGTAGTCTACATTTGACCTATAGGTCACATGTTCTAGCGGTGAAAGCACGCATCTACTAATGCTTGTATTAGTGTAAGTTGTCTACACATAACCGTTGGAGTGCAGCCTCCCCGGACCCTACGTGAATGCGAAATGCCGTGTATACTGGGTTGCCCATAAAATATTTATCTTTACTTGGTCAATTCAATACATATAAAATATAGTAGCACAAAAAATCAGAATTAAATTATTCCCATAATCAAGATAAATTATTAATCATGTGCTACAATTATTCTGATTGCTTTTCCAATTCCATCATTATATTGCGAACCCAAACTTTATGTTTATAAAACCGATGATTTAATCTTTTGTGTATAAGCTAAAAATTTTATACACTAAATCATCTATTATATAAATAAATAGACAAACGAACAAACGGACAAATATATAATATATTTAAATTTATATTAAAATTGAATAAATAATTATTTTATAATAAATATTATATTTAAACATATGATTAATAGTATACCTTTCAACAGAATAAACACTAACATTAAGCATGCATTCTTTGACTAGTAAACTACTGGTCAGATGTCGTTGTTGAGAACTCCTTTTTATCTGCTTCTATATTGTTCTAATTAATGACATGGAAAAAACTTAAGACGTAATGACAAAAGAACATGCCTCTCCATAATATGTATTTGTAGTCATAATTTTGGTACTAATAATTAATGATAAGGTCTCTTCTTAGTTTATTTAAGAAAAAATTAGTGGGAGGGAAACAAAAGTAACATGGTGACGAAGCTGGCCGTCCAAAAGAGCGACATGTTAATCCTCTATAAGGGAAAAAGCTAAGAATTAATTGGTTTAGCAAGCAATAGATAGAGTTGAAATCATTAATAAACATTAAGAATCCTGATGCTAGGTCGGCATCTAACCGTAATTAAAGATTACTTTTGGTTTTGGAGATAGAATTTTTCTCTCTCAACCTGTTTTAAAACCTTTATTTTTTGTCCTTAATCTTTGTCTAACACCAAATAAATTAAAGTTATTGTGGAGAGAGGAGAAGGGAATTTTTTTCAATTTGCATGCTCATCAACCTAATAAAACCGGCACAATCATGCACCTTGAGGAGGACCGACAGGTTCTAGGTTGGCAAAGTTTCGAAGAATGATAAGCGTACAATAATACAATATTTTAGGTAAATTTTACATTGGAAATATAGAGAAAAGTGAATTAAGTAATTAACATATGAGACGGCGCAAATTCACGTAAATTTAGAATCCATGTAATTCGCTCAAAAGAGAGATTTTTAAATTTATTGGGTAAAAGTGAACAACACTTATCAAAAGCTTGGGTGTTGACAAAACAATCTAGTGAGTTCTCACGAGTGAGCTTGGTGAGGGTAAAGTGTACATAGACCTTACCTTTACCCCTGAGAGTAGAGAGACTGTTTTCGAAATACCCTCGCTCAAGACAATGAAAAAAGATAATATATCAGTACCGTCAACAGAATTATAGGAATAATAGCAACATCATAAGAACCAGAAAATAGATGAAAAATAATAACAAAAACCAATGAATAAGGCCCCGTACTATGAAAAAATGGAAGAATAGTGTGGACACTACAATAATCGCTAGCAAGCTAGGACAAAACCTTATCAGACCAGCCTCCCATCCAGAACGAAGTAGAAAAATACTCAGCTACCTCCTAACCTATCACCTTAATGATTGACCTCCACACCTATCAAGGGTCATGTCCTCGGAAATCTGAAGTCACGCCATGTCCTGCTTGATCACCTCTCCCCAATACTTCTTAGGTGTTGACAAAATCCTGACTAAATAATTTTTATGGATATTTTAGAGTTTACCCCACGTTTTATTTCATTATTCTAATCTCCCATATAGTTTATGATATTATGCTTACCTTAGTTATTTTAATTTTTTGTAACAATTCTTATACCTATTATAATTAATATAAAAGAATTACAATTTCACTATCTTGCCCTTTCTAATGTACTCTTTTGTTTAATACAATTTTATAGCCATTTTTTGTTACTTTTTTGCTTTTTTATTTATTCAAAAGCTGCTGGATAATTTTTTTTTTTTGGTTATTTTCCTTTCCTGGGGATCTAATCTTAGAGCGGAAACTTGTCATTTTACTTTTAGAAATTCAAACCCCCAGCTCAATTTGGACATCAATGGAGGTGTGATGTCTGAACGAGGAAGAAGAGGAATGGAGAAGGAAGACCGACAAAACTAGGGATATTTCGATATAACCTAGGATATATGTCGGGTGTTCTTTTATTTAAAGGAGCTTTGGATATTTAATCACAATCACATATCTTTTCCTGATGGATCAAATCTGGACCCTTGATTTATTTAACTAGTATAAGCTTCTTACCTCACCAGAAAATCACGTGAGGAAATATTGTTGGTTAGAATAGAATTTTGCTGTTACAATTAGACAAATACAAATAGGACAAGTGTAAATAGTATTTTCTTTTTCTTTATATACTATTCAATACTCAATTGTATATATATACATATGTACAAATAATTGAATGAAGACACAGAAAATTTCTCTAACTCTTCAGTCATCTATTTTCTTCGATTCTGCATAGCTGAATCTTCAAAATCCTTCATGGTATCAGAGCATTAAACTCGATCCAACAATAATCATCAATCACCAAATTCTATCCTACAACTCCAAGTGAAGGAAGATGCCTACAACTGATGAAACCATAGCTGCAGATATTGGGAACACTCCTAAGGCAGCAGGATATGGCATTAATCACCCATATCATCTTAACAACTCAGATTCACCTGGGATGACCCTAGTCAACACTGTGTTTGATGGAAGAGGTTATCCAGGATCTAAGAGATCCATTCTTCTATCCATATCAGCCAAGAAGAAACTTGGATTCATCAATGAGACTTGCAAGGCTCCAGATCTGAACTCAGCTGAATATGAGCAGTGGAGCTGTGTCAACAATATGGTTACATCTTGGATTCTAAATGCACTGTCAAAAGAGATTGCTGACAGTGTCATATACTCAAAAACAGCTAAGGAACTCTAGGACAGTTAGAAAGATTTGGCAAATCAAATAGTGCTAAACTTTTTCACCTGCAAAAAAGAGTTGTCAAGTTTAACACAAGGTAATAGTGATATTGTTGGATATTTCACCAAACTTAAGAGACTGTGGGATGAATTAGATGCACTAAGTATAATCATAACTTGTTCATATGTGTGTCTGTGTGAGGGAAAAGCTAAGCTGACTAAGTCTTTGGAAGATCAAAGGTTGATTCAATTTTTGTTGGGAATGAATGATGTATATGCACAAGCTAGAAGAAACATTCTTATGATGAGTCCTTTACCTAGCATGGACATTGCATAGTCACTACTTTTGCAGGATGAGAACCAAAGGGAAATATATGCAAATGCACATTTCAGTTCAGATTCTGCATCTTTCATGGTGGCTGGACAACGAAAACAACCAAATGGACAGATTTTTGCTGAATTTGCAGCTTTCATGGTAGCAGGACAAGGAAGGAATAATCAAAGGTTCAGAAATCAGGCCCCTAGAGGACCAGTGACTGCTCAAAAATTCAGCAACTCATCTCAAAAGGTTCCAAGGCCACAACAGAAATTCAGAGGGAAGAAGAAATATAATCCTAATCTATTTTGTACCTATTGTGGGAAAATAGGACATACACAAGAGGACTGCTACAGACTGATTGGGTTCCCAGATGATTTTGAATTCACTAACCCAAAGGCCTATCAAAACCATGTCAAGGCAAATGTGGCAACAACACATGAGGAAGATAATGCAATAGGGCGGAACAATGAAACCAACAGTAGCAGTCTTTGACAATATTTCAGCAAGGAACAAATTGCAGAGATGATGGAGATATACAAACAGACAAAATTAGCACAAACTGGAAGTTCAGGAATTAATACAAATGTTGTGGCTGGTACTATTCTGAAATACTCAGGATTAGTGTTTACAAGTTTGAAATCAGATTCTTGGATAATTGATTCTGGAGCATCAGAACATATATGTTTTGACCCCAATTCTTTCTTGTTTCTAATTCCACTCCATGTACCTTTGAATATTAATTTACCTAGCTCTTTCAAGGTAAGTGTTACTCATATAGGGAGTATTTCCATTTTGCCAGGTTATGTTTTGACTAATGTTCTTCATGTGCTAGATTTTGAATATAACCTGTTATCTATTCATAAGTTCTGTGTGCAATTCAAGTATGATCTTCTACGTACATCTAGTGGGTGTCTGTTGCAGGGCTTTCAATGAGGAGTCCTCAAGTTTTTGGTGAAGTTAGAGAAGGTCTCTACCTGTCAGAACCCACTAATTTCAAGTCTAGAAGTATGCTTAGTAGTGATGTAATTTCATTTCCAAAAGGAAGAAATTCCAGTTTTAGGTCTGTTTTATGTTCCAAGTTAGTTCATGTTAATGTGATACCTGATGTAAAGCTTTGGCATGAAAGGTTGGGTCATGTTCCAATTTCAGCAATGAAACATTTACATTTCTTTCATTGTGCTTCAAATTCTGATTTTATTTGTGATATATGTCCTAAAGCTACACAGACTAGGAATCATTTTTCCATCAGCAACATAAAATCCAAGCATGTTTTTGATCTTATACATATTGATACTTGGGGACCTAATAAATCTAGCACTTATAATGGTTTCAAATATTTCCTCACTATTGTTGATGACTACAGTAGAGGAACCTGAACATTCTTGTTAAGTGCTAAAAGCAATGGTTTTCCTATTCTTAAGAGCTTCCTATCTATGATGCAGAGACAATTCAATGTGAAGGTTAAGATTATAAGATCTCACAATGCTTTGGAATTGGGAAAATGGACACAAAAGGCAGATTTTCTTGCATCAAAAGGGATAATACATCAGTTAACTTGTGTTGGTACTCATCAACAAAATGGAATTGCTGAGAGGAAGCACATGCATCTTCTACAGGTTGTAAGGGGATTAATGTTCTAGTCTAAACTACCTATGTCATATTGGGGAGAGTCTATTCTGACTGCAATACACATCATAAATAGATTGCCTTCCAGAGTACTAAATGGTAAGACTCCATTTGAAGTCCTTTTCAAACAAAAGCCTAAATATGATTATTTGAGGAATTTTGGAAGCCTTAGAGGATTTTTTCTAGAGATGTTAAATTTTTTTAGTCACATTTTCCTTTTGCCAAAGCTAAACCTACCCACAATCCTATTTTTTTAGATTCCCCCTTTTCTTTAGATTCTAACTCCTCTCAACCTATACATGCAGAATTATCATCTACAGTAGATATGGATCTTCACAATCCAACCTCTACACCATCACCTTCTTTTCAACCTAACTCTTCTGATTCATACATCACACCCACTTCTCATCAGCGTGTTTCTCATGTTCCTTACACTAGTCCTCACATATACCCAACCAAATCTCCTATCTCTGCACCTAGACATGAATTTTCATTAAGGAGGTCTGATAGAATCACACAACAGCCAGTGTATCTTAAGAACTATGTGTGTAACATTATCATGTTTGCTGATTTGGACAGGGCATGTTTTTCTTATCTACTAGGCCTAGTGCCTACTCCTTTTCATCTCTAACTATAAATAATCAACATCTCGTTCAGTCCCTATCTACTTTAAATGAACCTAATAGTTATGAACAGGCTTCTCAACATCCAGGTTGGAGAAAAGCCATGGAATTAGAAATTCAAGCATTGCAAGACAGTCAAACTTGGGAAGTGGTTGAGTTGCTTAAAGGTAAGAAGCCATTGCCTTCTAAATGGGTTTATAAGGTAAATCACTTGTCTGATGGGACCATTGAAAGAGTAAAAGCAAGACTTGTAGTAAGGGGGGATATCCAAAGAGAGGGCATAGACTACAGTGAAACATTTTCTCCAGTAGTCAAAATGACAACTATAAGATGTCTTCTTGTTGTTTCATCAAAAAGGGGTTGGGATGTGTCTCAATTAGATGTGAATAATGTATTTTTAAATGGAGATTTACAAGAGGAAGTGTACATGAAATTTCCAACGGGACTCGCCCCTTCTAGTCCTACTCATGTTTGTCTGTTGAAAAAGTCTTTATATGGATTGAAGCAAGCTTCACGGCAGTGGTATGCCCGGCTTGCAGGGGCATTAAGTTTCAAAGGATATTCATCATCATTGAATGATTATTCTCTGTTTTCCAAGAAAACAGGACGTCTCATATCTATTTTAGTAGTTTATATCGATGATATATTATTAACAGGGGATGATATACAAGAAATTCAAAATATCAAAGAATTCCTCAATTCTGAGTTCAAGGTAAAAGACTAAGGAGACATACATTATTTTCTTGGACTAGAAATTTTGCGAGAAAGTAATGGTTTTATTATCAGTCAACGCAAATTTACCTTGGATATGCTCAACGAATTTGATGTCTCTCATTTGCCTTGTGCAACTTCCCCTCTGGATCCATGTTCTAAGCTTCAAGCAGATGATGGTCCTCTCATGGACAATCTCACTCTTTATCGGCACTTGGTTGGCAAGCTGAATTATCTTACCAACACATGCCCAGATCTCTCCTTCGATGTTCTCATTTTGAGTCAATACATGCAACGCCCTTGCTTGTCACATTTCTTTGCGGCTTTAAAGGTTCTTAAATATCTGAGTGCTAATCATGGACAGGGGATTCGGTTATCCTCTATACCAAATTTTTCTCTCCTTGCTTTTTGTGATGCCGACTGCCGAAGCCGAATATCGCTCTATGAGGAGAGTCACTGCCGAGCTAACCTGGCTTGTACGTCTTTTTGATGACCTCTCCACTCCTATTACTCTTCCAATTCCCCTTCACTCAGATAGTAAAACATCCATTCATATTGCCCATAACCCTGTCTTCCATGAACGCACAAAGCACGTCGAGCTTGACTGTCACTCTTTTTCATAGTGCGTCAACAATTTCTTTCTGACCTAATTACTCTTTTTTTGTGCCATCCAAAGATCAGTTGGCCGACTTATTCACAAAGCCTTTTCTGTGGTTTCTCATAAAGGGATTCTAAGCAAGTTGGGGGTCACTACACTCCCCTTCAACTTGAGGGGGATGGTAGAAATTTAAAACCCCAGCTCAATTTGGACATCAATGGAGGCATGAGGTCTAAACGAGGAAGAAGAGGAAAGGAGAAGGAAGACTGACCAAACTAGGGTTATTTCGATATAACCTAGGATATATGTCGGGTGTTCTTTTATTTAAAGGAGCTTTGGATATTTAATCACAACCACATATCTTTTCCTGATGGATCAAATATGGACCCTTGATTTATTTAATTAGTAGAAGCTTTTTACATCACCAGAAAATCACGTGAGGGAATATTGTTGGTTAGGATAGAATTTTGCTATTACAATTAGACAATTCAAATAGGACAAGTATAAAAAGTATTTTCTTTTTCTTTATTTACTATTCAATACTCAATTGTATATATATACATATACAAACAATTGAATGAAGACACACAAAAAATTTCTCTAACTCTTCAGTCATCTATTTTCTTCGATTCTATATAGCTGAATCTTCAAAATCCTTCATTTACAAAGGAGAACTATTCGTCAAAAGCTTATGGATTACAGAGCTTCATGCCAACCTTGATTTAATCTTTTTGCTTACGTAATAAATATTTGAATACCCATGTTTCAGATATGGAGAAAAAGCAAGCTTTGTCTTGTGAATTGTAATTTTTCAATTTGAGGAATTCTTCTTTTAGCGGGAAATCAACAAGCAACTTTTCCATTTTTTATTTGAAAACAATCAACTGAAGCCTACAAAAATGAAGCAATCTCAAGAAAACTATTTACTGTAAAAATAGTAATAACAATTAAATTTGGTTTAGTGGTTCTAAAAATACGTGATCTATTTTTATGCTAGTTGTTAAGCAGTTGAGGCTATGTGAAAGACTTAGAAACGAGATAAGAGCTTGAGAGCAGGGTGATAACCAAACCGAATGATTAATAAT